TAATCCAGTTTTGAGATCCTTCCCAGACGCCTTAACGCCCACTCACATCCTGGGCCATCTGACCTCAGGAATTCGCATGATAAGGTGGGGCCAGGTTTCACAATGAACTCAAGCATATAAAGTATAAAGCACCTTGATGCAACTGTTGTTGTGATTTGGCACTATGTAAATAACTGAATGGGATTATGTAGTATTTATCTGCTGTCACTGAGCACTCAGACTGCATTTCCACTACAGAGGACAAGTTCCATATTATCTAGTTACACGGAGGGTGAGACAACACCAGCTCTCTGTCAGTGTGTGTTAGTTTTGGAGAGGAACAGACAGGAAAATGCAGTGTTATATTTGTAAAACAAAAGCTCCAGACCACTAACAAGGTGCATTTCTGCAGGTCAGCAGGGCAAAAAAGTCACACACAAAAAATCCCGAGTGCCTGCACCACACTGAACAAGAGGATGCTGCTAAAAACGAAACTACATTAAACGGTATCACAAGCATTAGACAGATTAACATTAATTTGGAAATTTATATTCAACTTAATGTAAAGAGCTGTTATCAGTTCAATAAGGAGAGATCATTAGAAGGAATTAAACATTCTTTCTAACAACAGCAGGAGCCCTGAGTAACATGGCGGAGATGGGGAGGAGGCACAAAAGCATCTGTGATGGAGAATGTTTTTTATTTTATTTTATTTTTTTTATTATTATTATTTTTTTGTGATGGAGAATGTTAGACGAGCACATGGAGAAGAGAAGAAGATGACCGGACTAGACCAGTCATGTCACAGCGAGCATGGGAAAGTGGAAGCAAGTTTTGATTAGCCAACAGACACTTGGGAAACAGACAGTGACTACATGTTTTACATGCATACACATAAGCTTCATCCTAAATAACATTATCCTCACTTGAACCGTCTTTTCTTTTTTCCCCATGATGTATTTTTTCATATGAAGAATGTGGACATGGATGACATTTCCATAAGTTATTATAAACTTAAGCTTTGGCGTCTCCAAACTGATAATATACGAAGTTCAAAACTTGTAGTGTTATGTGTAGATTAGAAATTTAGAAAAAAAGATACAAACATAAATAAAAAAACAGAAATCACCCAATCTTACACAACAGTGAAGATGTCTCTCAAACTGCTGACCAGTGTTGGGTAAGTTACTTTAAAAAAGTAATTAATTCCTAATTACATATTACTTACTCAATATTGTATTTAAAATACTTATCTAATTACTGTGTCAGAAAAGTAACTTAATTACTAAATAAGTAATTTAACTAAATACTTTTTCAAATTCCTATAAACCTTGAGTGGGCGAACAATAGAAATTAAACTCTTTAAATAATAAATAATTTTTTTAAAAGACAGAGACTCAGTACGCAGCACAATGTAGCCTGCAGTCATTTTTTAAGCTCACCTTCAGACGCTTTCTGTGCTGCTGAAGTAAAACCAGGTTTTGCTGCTTAGCGGGAGTTGCCGCGGTGTTATCCATGGATGATGAACAAGGATCGCTCAGAAGTGTTCGTCTATGCTC